TTAACCTGTGGAACGCTTCTTATGTTTGTGTGAGTACATTTTCATCCTTCTTAAGGATAGCTGTGGCCGCTTTTCGGACGGACTTCCGGCTGGCCACGCGGAATCGCAATTTCACAGGCCATTTTACAATCTGGTGAGTAAATCTTCTTTTTTCTTTCTAGTTTTTGGTGTCGATCAGAATTGTGGAAGAGTAATGCAGTGATCGTCGTATGATGCAGTTTTGTGAAAGAATGAATGCAGTTTTCTGCAGTATTTTAAGATGATTGAGAAAGATCGATTTGTTTTATGAATTCGTTTTAAAGAACACAAATAGAACTTATCAACGAATGGAAAGAATTTTTATAAATTTAACGATGGAATAGTATGATGAGGCTAGTGTTTCTGGTGTTAATAAACAGGAAAATATGTTTCAAATTTAGACAGTTAAAAAGTGATTGTTTCTTTAGTTTGGAAGGTGTTAGTAGAGGTACTTATGTGCACGTGCAATTGTCGTTGTCTATTTCACGTTCTTTTTACTCATAGATACACTAAACTTGTAAATTTACTGCATTATTTCTGGATGCATTGTAGAATCCTGTCTAGACAAAAGAATTATGCAGAAGTGAACGATTATCCAGGTAACAAAAGAGAAGGATTCTTTTACAAACAAAAATTCTGAGCCTATTTTTATCTACTTGAAAAATCTTTCAATTACTTACGCTATTTTATAATAATTAAACTATAATACTTGTATTTATTGACAATATTTCTAGTTCCAGATCCTTAATACAAACCAACCAATCTAAACCAAAGGAACAACTAACTATCTGATCTAGATCCACTTCTTTATCATCGATTTCCTCTATTTTGGTACCTCTAACTTAGAATGACTTTTGAACCCTTCAATTTTAAATTAACCTTTACATCAAAATTTCAAGTGATTAAACTCATACAAATTTTTTTGTTTTTTTTTCGAGATATTAACTCCCAAATGAAAATCAAGGAAAAGATACACAGGTTTGAAAGGGTTAAGCTGAGAGAACCGAATAAACTCATGGAGAACCAGTGCAACGGTGTTCACAGGTGAGCTCATAGAAAAGATGTTCATTAACACCTGTTCAACCGGAAGGTGGTAACTCGTTAAGTCCGGTAATAGGACGATCGTGAAGAACAGAGGGCGGAGAGGAGGAAGAATCGCACAATCGGTTCCCGACCAATGGAACAAGAAGTTAGGGGAGCTTCCATCCCCTCTCGAGTTGATGCCGTTCACGACTTTGGTCTTTCGACGACGTCTTCAAAGACATGACGCCCACGCTATCAGTTATTTGGCGAGCCTCCAGCCTCGTGCAGGTGTCTCTTTTGGATCACGCGTCGATCCATCGCACTTTCTATCGTTCGTCCCCTTCGTCTGTCCAAGAACCATTCACGGAGGATAAGTTCGACACTGTGGAGAACGTTCCACTTGCTTGGAAATTGTTTTTCATCTGTTCAACAAAGTGCAGGGTTGTTTTGGATAAATCTTGATATCTTGAGGTGATTTTGGATTTGATTTTTCTGAGTGGAAGATCGGTGAGTATTGTTGATTGTAATAACTGTGTTTAAAAAAGTGAATTTTTGCATTGGAACTAATTGAAATAACAGATAGTTGTTAGATAAGTATTTTTTATTTGCAGAGTTCTGTTCATTTTGATTTCAGTGGAGCAATTTTGTTACCTCACTTTTGTGATAATATAGATCATCTTAATTTTAGCTAGAATTATTGAAAATAATTTTGGCCAATAATTCACCAAAATAATAATGGCGAAAATAATTCACCGGAATAATTTGTGGAAAAAATGAAGAATTTTTATTACGGTCAATTTTCTAGGTATAAAAGTGTCTTTTGACCGAGTGCCCTACTTGAAATAATTGTTTCCAGTGAAAAAAATGTTTGCAATTTTTTAACTGGGCGTCTCGAAGGCAAGATGTCGGCATAGCTGATGTTTTTTAAAATTCGGCTGTGTCACATCCAGCCAGCCGAACGTTCAAACATCAACGCAAGCATTTATCATCAGAAAAAACAGGATATTCCCGTTTCTTTAATTCTCAATTCCATCTAAAAAGCATTGCAACAAGAAAGTGTTTAAAAAAATAATATATTTCCATTTGGATGAAATAACTCGTCGAAAAGTCGATTATTTAATTAACTGGAACACTATAAATAGTCTATAAACAAATGTAACCATTTCAGAATTGAACAAACGAAGTTGGAATTTATCTCGTGTTGCAATATAGTGAATATTATAAGTGAGTCACATTAACGACATAAATTTTGATAAATTTGCAGCGAAGTCATATGCGACCCACGTAGATCGTTTTTGACCGAACTTCTACCGGATGCGATGCCGTCTCCAATGGAAAGCGTTGTAACGTGCTGTGCACGCTAATTAATGCGTTAGAAGGACTATTCTTTCGACTCGTGGCTTGAACCCTAAAGGAATGCATACTTTAAAAATGGAAAAAGGACGCCTCGCAAGGGTTGTTTCTATATCGAGATTAAGTATCATTTAAGTTATTTTCATTTAGCTCAAAGTGCAAGTGAGTATTATGTTGTTTACATCACTTTGATAGTAATTTATAAATTTGTCAATTTATAATTTGGTATTTTATTCAAGAGTTTCGATTAATCGAAGAGCAGCTGAAGTTAAAGAAGTACCAACAGTTCTTCTTGTGTCAATTTTATAGATAGTGTAAAATATATAAATATAAATGAAATAAATATGTAATTATTTATGACTAATATATGAACACAAGTGTAATCACATTGCATATGAATAAAATCACAATTTTATCAAGTTTCCTCAACTTCTTTTTAATAACCGTTTCCTGAATGATATTGCATAGTTTTACGCGATAAAATGGGATGAATGAACTTAATGAGATATTTCTGAATTTTGTTTACATAACAAAACGTATGCAAAAGAAAACAGAATGTCGAATGAATTAAATTACTATAAAGCGCATATCAAATACGTATTTACGTTTTTTTTCTCTTCCCTCCATTTATCCGTCAGATGTCAGAACATGTGCTGTGTGAAAATGCACGAGTATAGGTTATGTCGCCGGGGAGGATGCAGAGAAGTGGATTGTTGGATCGCAACCGTACCAAAGCAATGATATGTGAGAATTAGAAAGAATCCTAAATCTGGTTGCGTAATATGTAGTCAAAGTAATTAGAGCGAATATTAGAAAGCCGTTAACGAAGTAGTTCTCTTAATGACTGACAACTCGATTAGCGAGGTTATGTTATCGAGCTGGCCGTCAACACGATTCCACGTCCGTTTCTTAACTTCATGACCCGTGTTATGATTTTTCAATCACCATGAACAATTCAAATAATAAGGAAACCATAAATCTCCTGGATCTGCTGTCAGACAGTGATTCCGATGTGTCAGACTTGGTACTTACACCTAAGAAGAAAAAAATCAAACGGTAAGGAAAAAAAACAATTTTTATTCCTATATCAATTGAAATTCTGAATACTTGAATAACGAAAAATTTGATTTACATTACAGGAAACATAGACCAGGTAATATGGTAAAAATGAAGAAGTCTAATACTTGTGGATGCAGTAAGTCTGACATGAGGATTATATCACTGTGGCTAGTAGCTGTTTTGATTACTTTCTGGTTGATAGCACTCTCCTGGCTGGCTGTTATTTTATATGGAGAAATTAAAAAAATGGATATCTCTATAAAGTCAGGTAAACATGCATTACTTTTGTTTCATATACGTTGTCAAGTTGAATTTGATACTGATGATTGACAGTGATTGATAATGATTAAAATTGCTTTTGTGCCACTTTTATTCTGGAACTAATACTGGGAGGAATTTGAACAATCAAGCTATCGTTGTAAAGTAATATCAGTAAAATTTATTTATTCTCCACATTGATGAATTTTGTCATACTTATTTCTGCTGCTTGATACAGAGTAACAAAATTTTGTCAACTAATGCTGATATCATTTTTTAAAATTTCCTTGAATGTTTATAAAATCTTGATAATTAATTCGCGTGATTTTGATTCACAATACTAAGCAAAATATTCGATTAACGATCAAAGTGTGAAAGAGATATTTCTTCCTCGAAGAGTTAATTACGCGCTAATATGATCTATACCTCTCGCCAATAAACCGAAATAGGCGAAATAGCCTTGAATCTCTGATATACAAATATCTATTTTCGCTTCGTCTAACAGCGTCGTAAATTTAGATCGTCGTTCATTATATACCAATTTAAATCCGACAGAAAACACGGAAACTTCGGGACGTAAATATTTATAAATACGAGCATTTTCATATTAGTTCATCGCTTCTAATAACATTACTCATTAATTAATTCTAAATATCGATAATTTGTCGACAATTCGACATGCTTTCGAACTGAATCAATCGATAAATGATTGATCAATAACATCGATAACTCGTTTTATCAATAATTCTCGAAATCTGTCGATGTTCATCGATAACGGTTATTATTGCTCACCATTCATCAATATTATTGAAAATTTAAAATTCGCGCATTCTTTAAAAGCATTTAATTTATCGATTCGTTAGCTATAACGACACATCGATACCTCTCGAATCTTATCGATCGCGTTATCGTTGGCAGCGCTTCCATTTTTCACACGACGAGTCGCGCGCGTTTCTTTTTCTCTCGTTCTTCCTTCCTCACTTTTTTCCCTCTTTCTGCCGGTTCCTTCCTTCCGTATCAATTCAAAATTCCCTATATGCGCGGTGAATTGTTATCGTAAAAACCCCCGGTAGATAGACCGTGCACGGTCGCGTACCAACCCTCCGTCAGTCAATATCTTGCGCACGCCGCGAGTGGTACGCAGTGACAGCGGAGGCGTTGTCTACGTTATTTGCCATTTTAATTCGTTGTTTGTTTTCCAAAATAATTCTACTCTACGAATAACAACGTAGAACACCTCGCGAGATGTTTCGTAACAGATCGAACCAGTGACTCGTGTTTAAACAATTCTAAATCGTTCGACCTGTCGTTATATTAATCTGCAGTTTGTAACTCGTGAATCGATCGGTATTGTTGTATAATTTATCCTGGACGTAGGTCAAGTTCCGCATGCACCAAGTGCTCGTGGTCGTCGGTGTTCGAAACGTTCGATGGTTGACAGGTGTGCACGGTTTCGTTCCACGCCTCCTATCGATTCCCAATCGGCCAGCGAACACATAGAAGTGCCCCTAATGGAATGACGTACGAAAAGTCGTGTACCTGTCTGCTGTCGGTAAGGGGGGGCGGAAGTAAGTGAGGGTTGCTGCGTTTAAGTAGCCTCACGACTGTCTGACGAATACGCAACGCCGCGTACACGCGACCACGCATACATGGTAAATATATAGGGCCAATTAGCGGCGTTCAACGTATTAGAATCGTTTCGTATATTTCACTTGTTTAATCCTGTCGTTTCATTCATTGACTTTTCTGAAAACATGATACCCTCATTAGTTTGGACGGTGCGTCAGCGTAAATGGGTTACCCTATAGGTTGATTCAATTATATCTAAATCGGAAATTAAAAATGATTCATAAATTTCATATTTTTCACATGAAATAATTCATGAAAATATGGTCTTCAGTATTTATAAATGAATTGAAATTGCTCTTGAAGTTTGGCGGAAAACTCGAGTTTAAGTTTGAATAAAGGGGATATTTATATCGAAAGAATACAGATTTTCGTAAGTTCGTTACTAACGGTGTGAAATTGACTTCGAGTCGACGGATATCGCAATTTTTCATCCCGAAACTCGACACCTCGTTAATTATTTGAAATAATTAAAAGACAATACAGGGTGTTCGTATTAATTGCTGATGAGATACGGGAGGTGCAAATGGAGAACTGAATTATTGGCTACCGGTTAATCGTGCCAATAGAGTTAACAGTTGAATTAATAATAACGCTGCAACTGAATACTGATCAACCATGTTACATATACGTAGTTACATTTCGCCTAATTCTATTACTCAGAACGATAAACATTGCGATAAATTAAGCTAGTCCTTCAAAAATATGTTTCCGGGAAATTTTCATGGAGATTTTCCTCAAGTGAAATTATGGAACGCTCGATTTAATACGACCCTGAGACTGATAAGATACCGACGTTAAAAACAACGCGAAATTCGCAGCTTATAATCAACTCCGCAAACAACTAATAAGTATATATTGTGACTCAAACGTCTGGAGGTACTACGCGTTTTAAGTTACAACGTCATTCTTAGTAACAGAATTATTCCGCTACTATTAATATCCAGAAAATTTGCATAGAATTTCTTTGAAAAAAATATTATTAAAAACATTCGATATTGTCACAACTAACCAAACAATTCGAAATCTTTCAATTGCACAATTTTCATCGAATCAAGACAAGCCGTGTTATCGTTTTTGATTAACGATCAATAATCCACGATCGATAATTCGCTGTTAATTTCGCTCAAGTGTAAGATATCGCAAGATTTGCTTGAAATTGTGTAACAATGCAAAAAGAAATCGTTTTCTGATCGACATAGAAAAAGAGGAAGAAAGAAATGAACGACTCGTTCGATTTCATGTTGGAAGGATGTTTTTATGTCACAGTTTGTAAACGTGATTTATGATAGGTTGGATCGCGTTACATTGATCGTTGTTAATCGCGTGTTCCGCGATTTTTTTGTCGTAACGTTACGCGTCGCACGAGGTTGGGCGTGCTCGGACTTCGCGAAACTACAGATGAATATTACACTAACGATAAAACTTGAGATGAATATTTTCGACCTCAGTTAACCCTTAATTATTAACCTTCTCTCTAGACTAGATCTACCCTTATTAAAGTGTTTATTTTTACATTCTTATTGGTTTATTGTTTAGTATATTTATCTAAATTTTTATTATTTCCATAGTTTCTTTTTATTAATCGCGTTGGTAAAGAAGATTTAGCATGTGTAAAAATTACATAGGTTAGGTTATGTTCGTGATTGAAGTTTAAGAAGTTTCTCGAGTATTCTATTTTCCGTCGAAGAGGAAGAGAACTTTTCTGCTTGAAAATTTTATTTTCGACTTAAACCAGATTTATTCCCGCTTCTAAAGGTTTTATACCGTGCGTTCGAAGACTTTCTATTTTTACGTGCATCTACCTTTTCCCCCGATGAGTGCTTTGTTTTTTATGGCGGTAGTTTTTATCCTCGAGGAAAGTGTCTTTAATGCTTTTCGAAATCACTGTTCCTTAGTGCGGGAAATTTGAAATAGTATTTTATTAAACATTCATTCTTTCGAGGTGATGCCAGTTTTTTTTAGAGTTTCGCTTTTAACGAAGTAAATTAAGTGTATTGATTTATTAGAAATTCAGTTTCTAAAGATTTCAGTTTTTGTTATTTCCTGTTTTAAAGGAACTACTCCAGAATATTCGTTTCTTTTGTGTTCTACGTAATCTATACGTATTCTACTAAAGATTCCATTTTCGAATTTTCATTCTTCTGAGGTGATTGAATCTTTTTAGTCTCATTTTTTAACGGAGTCTTTAAAACTCAGTTAGTGACGATTCCAATTTTCATGACTTATCCTTTTGAAGAAATTTCCGTAGAATACTATTTACTCTTTTCGTGTTCGGTACACGAGCACCCGTTTCCGTTTCGCAAGCGTCAAATATGTGCAGGAGGATTTGTCTCTCTCGTTTGTTTGTTTCATTGGCCAACTTTTAGATAAAGTGTACTGTCGTGGTGTACCTAATAGCGCCGTAAAACGATTATTAAAGCGACATACTGACAAAATGCAATTACTTAGGGGGTACATACAGTCGAATGGCAATTGTTATTATTCCCCAGACGTGTCCGAAAATACCACGAACTTCCTAAACGACATAAAACACGGAGTATATATTCTCGTAGTTTCGTTCGATATACAGGGTGCTTAAAAATAAATGTTAACTTCTGAAAAGCAAGTTTTGGAAGAAAGGAAACATTAGGTGTTCGTTATAACTGAGACACTCGATAAATTTTCTTCTCTTTACGAAGTAAATGGAAATTTCAAGAATGCGTTAATTATGAGTGATCAATTTCACATTGACATTTTCTTTTTAAGTACTCTGTATGTTACCAGTTTTTCATCCAGTTCGATTGCTCGATATGGTAAACGTAGTTTCGATTTTAACGACTCCACCAGTTTTCCATGTAAATAAAGTCATTAATAAAACGATAGATTTTCTTCGATTAATTGTAACACGTGCAAAACACTGTTCATAACAACGATTAACAGTTGATATGTTGTCATCTTCACGAGATTCGAGATTACTAGATTCATTTTTTCTTCTAATTTTTTCAATCTTTTCGTTATAATTTTATTTCTCTCGTTTGTTTTTTTTTAAATATGTTTTAATTTAAGTTTTCCACCGCTTTTCGTTCGGATTTAAATTGAACGAAAAGTGATATTATTTGAATAGAAAGAAGAGAATTTTTATTGCAGTGATCTGTCATTTTTGTTCTTTCAATTGTTTCAACGAATTCTTCATTAACCTTACGCTATTTTTAAGAGGATATTTTTAACTTTGTTTGGAATTTTGGAACTTTGTTTGATGACTAATCGAATGCAATAATTGAGAAACTGGTTGGTAGAGAAAGTGAATCGTAGAATTCAAGAAAATTGTGTAATATCGAATAGCTAGAAATTTGTGAGAAGTTTTACGAATTCTTTTTACTTTGAATTATCTTCTATTTTACACATTTTACGAGCTATTAACTCATTAACACCAGTGTATCGGTATAACCACTTGCATCTTTAAATTGAAACTTTTCCAATGAAGAAATTCATGGAACTCGAAGAAACGAAAACTTCCAACAGAACTTTGGAACAAAAGTGTTTCTCCAGGATGTTTAATCATGAAGGAACAACGATTCCGCCGAGTTCTTGACATTATGATCCTCTTTTACAGTCTGTTTCCCCTGGAAATCAGTCAAAGAATTTATTCTTTATTTAGTCAACGATACTTGTACCTCTGGTGTGTATTTTTGATCAGTGACGCGTTATGTATTAATTATTTTTGTTAATTTATTATCTAAATTGTCTTGTTTTCTCATTTTTATATTTTAATTTTTCAATTTTTTCCTCCGCTAGATCTTGGTGCTGCTTCGTTATTTTGCTGTTTTATTATTGTACAGGGTGCTTGAAACAGAATATAAACACTTATATGGAAGTAATATTTTTAGAGAAATAACACTGATCAGTCAAACACAAATTTTTACATGCTTGTCCTGCCCAATTCCCCCTTTTTTTCTAGTTATGCTAATGTAAAGCAGCTATATAAGTGTTAACATTTTTTTCAACCACCTTGTAGTTTTTGACTGTCTCCAGTTCTGGTTAATAGAATGCATCTAAATGATACAGCACGTGTTCATCTTGATCACGTGACCAGCTCCTCAATCAATATTCATAAACTTATTTGATCAGCTGCACCACCTCCGCCACCCACTACTAAACTTCAAAGTTGCAGCCGATAAAACCTATGCACATTGATTTCCATAGCAAAAATATCGAATTTAATAATGCAATAAAGGTCAACATACCCGGTAACAATCGTTTGGTACATTGTTCTCGAGTTAGCTCTGCCAATTCAATATCGGTACGAATGTACCCACACACGTGTACAGGGTGTACCACGAAATCTGTCCACAGGTAGATTGAACTGGAACTAATTCGCAAATCGTACTTCAGACTATCGCTAAAGTGTCCTGGAATCATGTTGTAGGAATGTATGTATATGCATGTTGTAGAAATTTTCAACTTCGGTGAATGTTTGAGTTAACGACAGTGATGATTTGAATGGAGAAAATTGGAATGTTGAGTCACTATCGAAAATTTAGAATTCAATTACACATTATTCATTTTTTTTTTTTTTGATACAGAAGGTTCTTTATCAATTTTTAGCAATCTCAGACATCTGTTCAACTGCAATTTTTCGGTTGGCAATGACTTAATATTAAGTTAACATTGAATCGTTGAAATATTAATTCATTTTTAAGTTAACGCCGAATCGTTAGAATACTCGATTACAGTTAACTTAATAACAAACCTTAGGCGAATATTAAGTCATTGGCGTTTGCTTCGACATTCAGCCAATTCTAAGTACTCAAGGTATCAAATTTTTTACCAATTTCTCTAGGAATCTTTTTACCAACCTCGTACATCTAACTTCAATTTATAGTTAACACCGAGCTGTTAGAACACTCGATCACCGTTAAGTTAATATTCTATAATTTAGTGAATATTGAGTCTACCAACGGGTATATGTTTCTCTCCTAACCAGACAACCTTATTTAAACAAAATTCCCTCTTACCACTTAAAGCACCAGAGACATTCTAAGTGGACAAATTAATAGGACACCCGGTATACTCAGTTGTGATGTTCCTACGCGTGTCTGTGCACTCGTACGGGTGTTACCCGTAAACGTTGTCAGGTACGAGGAGCAGACTGTGATAAGAGGGCCGCCAGTGCGAAGCGTTTCGCGGCGATGTTCGCTTCGTGACGCGCGATTCCTCTCGATCCGTCACGCCTCCGCTCTGTTCCGCCGTCCGTGACAGTGATCCACTGTAGAGTTTCGCAATCCTGACACCGTGTAACAGCGTGGTAACATACACAGCTATATGTATAGAACTAGTTTATACTTATGTCACACTTATCTCAAAAAGGATTCGACGATTTCCGCGACGTTTCTTCGTATCGGCTTTTCCCTTTAAAAACCGTTTCATACACAACAATCGAATCGTTGGTTGAAGATGATCGTTTGTTATTTGTAGTGTTTCGTGTTATTCTGCTAGTGTATTGTTAGATGGTAGTTACAGTTGATGAATCTATTTGTGAGGCGCAAGAGTGATGTAAGTTGCTCGTGGGCTCGCCGTTGTTGTTATTGTGTCATATTTTAGATGATTGGGAAGTTTCGAATTGATGAATGAACGCGGAATGTTTGGTATTACTTCGAGTGACACTGACGGATTCAGATTTAACGCGAGGAAAACTGTCGAGGAGAGAATTTCTATTGTTTACAGTTTGGATTACTTCGAAGGTTGAATTTTGATGTTAGAATAATTCTAGTTGAATATTACTAGGTGTAGCACGTATAGTGAGAATTGAGTACCAGCTGAAAGTGATTAATCGATTTATTGTACACTGAAAGCGGTATCGATATAAATTTTTGGTATTGTATTTCAATATTGAAGTTCGAGTTACGAATATTTTACATTTTACGTAGTAGCTGCGACTCTAATTAACGTTAATGGGCCAGTTTATCGAACACGCGAATTATCCTCCGTATCAACTTGTTCCACGTAATAATTACAGCTCTAATTAGACACGAATTATTCTAAAATGGAAATTCCTATTTTAGTATTTTCACTTGGGATATTCACTTGATGGTTCGATTGTAAAATAATTTGAAACGTCGACGTTACAATTTGAATGACTAAAATTCCGTATTACTCTACGTAACAATTATAACTCACCACTGATTAGACAAGAATTATTCCGGAACATAAGTTCTTCCTATTTTTTGTATTTTTGTTTCTTATTAAATACTGATTCGGTGTTTCACTCTTAAATGATTTTAGGTTTTGAAATTATGACTCAAACTATGGATTACTTGATATTATTTCGCCCCGATAACGTAGCGCCGGCAACACGTTCTACGTTCCGAGTGCTTTGTTCGAGTTCCCTTATCTAAACCAGTTGACTGCCTTGAACAGCTTCGACTGATACACTTAAATCGCTACAATCATCGTGGCCGCGTTATCGTACCTCGTTCCCATTTTTTTTTTCCTTTTCTGCCCTCGCTTTTTCTTACCGTAGAGGTTTCGTTTGTCATCGCCTTCTTCGCGCTTTTGTTCCCCCTGACCTCTTTCGTTGCCTCTCGAGGACTCAGTGCTGTTGTATCGCAGCGATCGATCGATCGAACTAGCGATACGACGGTGCATCGGCGAAGTCGTTGCCAGATTTTTCAATTTGGCTATATTCCAGTATATTTTCTTCTGTGAAAATTTCCACGAATATTCGAACGATTGGTATATTCAGAAAAAATTAGGTTAGGTTAAATTTGTCAAAGAGTATTTGGAATAATTAACAATGGAGTAAAAATTGTATTCAGTTTTGAAATATAGAAGCATTTCTGATTTAGTTATTATTATGTCTGAGGTTTTTGACTTTAAACGGTGTATTTATTTTTGGAAGAGTTTTCGCTGTAGTTACGTCACTAGATTTTTAATAAGATTGATTGCAACACTCTTCTAGAAGGACACGTCATATTCTTAGAAACCTCAGACAGTGTTGACTGTAAGAATAACTTCTGTACTTTGAATGCTGCGTAACGTGTACGATACTTTGGCAGATATATTGAAGAGAGGGGGGATAGGCCAAGAAAAAGAGTGGGGGTACGCTCTACAGTAGCCTTGAGAGGCTACGTAATTTCTCGCAGGCTATAGAATTCGCTAACAATAAGCATTACTAATAGTTTACCTTGTTTCCATAATATCTACGTTTTAAGCTAATTTAAAATTCTGCTTCAATTCTAAGTGATACTTTAAACTCACTACAAAATCTCGTTAATCTTCTTATTGGTCCAAAATCGAACAGCCTTAACCCCTTAACATATGACAACGTGTCAGACTCGTTGCAGAGATTCTGGCGAAGATGTAAGAAAAATAGTTGTATTAGTAAGAAAGATTCATTGTAATCCTAATTTTCGTTTGAATTTTTAAGACCGAAGATTGCTAAATGTAATTAATCTGTGACAGATTAGTTTTTGTTACCTGATACAGTAATAAAACAGAAAATGGCCGACGCTTAGATGCATAGTCCGAAAAGAAATCATATGTTAAGGGGTTAACCCTACCCTATCTCAACAACAAATTCCAACATTTTATAATCGTTCGAGATAACTTAATATATTCAACATATGCAATATACATATTCCACGTATTCAAATTGTTATCAATTTGCCAAAACATCACACACATCAGCTCTTCAAACTGAAATTCATCCTACCCCCTTTTCAACTTTCATTCAAAGTACTCTATCAAAAACGACGAACCACGGGAATGAAAACAGAATTTTGGTAGAACTTTGGAAAATGATCGATTTCAGAGGAAGTGGTCCCATGAAACGATCTCGACAAGAATTCTCCACCTACGAACGATAGAATCGGAAAGATGTGATCGATGGGCGGTGTTAAATCGTAGATCGTCGCGCGGATGAAACATTTTGTAAGACGCGTGGCGGTTGAGTTTCGAACGCGGAAATGAACCTGCTGCGTACGATTATCGACGCGTGTGCACCGTGCTGGGGTTGATAAAGGGAGGCGACGTGGGTGTAGACAAGGGTTTCCCGACGTGCTCGCGTGAAACGAAACGAAAATAGGCGGTTCGGTGTTGCTTGAGATGGACTCGGTGGCGGTGACAGTGCCGCTTCGTCAACCGACGAAGAAGATGAAGAAACGGAAGGAGCTCGACGCCCTGGCGCCTCCGCACACTGTCTCCCGCCGAAGTTCCGGAAAACGTAGCTCCCAAGTACGTATCGATTGACCGTGACCACGAGGAATACACGTTTCTTCTTTCAAGGGGAAGAATAACGAAATTTTTGTTTTTTCGAAGGGGAAATTTTTGACATAGAAATTTTACGATTTGACGGGGAAAAGTGACTAAAATCTCCTTTTTATTACTTTTTTTCTTGAAGGGACAAATTTAACATCGAAACTACAATTTGAAGGGGAAAAATTATGAAAATTTTTTTTCTTTGTTCTTTTTTTTTGGAAGGAAAAAATTCTACATCGACTCTTTACAATCTGGCAAGAAAAAATGATTAAAATGTTTTTTTATTTTTTAAGGGGAAATATTTGACATAGAAACTTTACGATCTCGAGGGGCAAAATTGACTAAAAATGTCTTTCTTTTCTTTTTCTTCTGGAAGGGAAAAATTTAACATTGTAACTTTCCGATTTGTAGGGGGAAGAATTACGAAAGTATCTTATCTTTTTGTATGGAAAAATTGCACATCGAAACACTACGATCTTCGAAGTTTATTTCAGTATATTCGTGACTCGACGAGGCTGTAATATGTGAAATGTTCGTTCATGGAGAGGTCTGTTCTGTGGTCGTGTGGTAAGAGGATTAAGGGGGAGAATTAGAGTTCGTGGATTATGCGGGTAATGGAGGGTTTTATCTAATTGGTACATCTTCCGATTCGTTTACCTTCAGCCTGTTTTCCTCTAATTGTTGCTTCTTTCCACGTAATGCTAGTTAAATTGTTCCAGGTACTCTGTCAATTTTCCAAGTACTTAATCTATCTCAATTGAACCTTCCTCGTTTCCCTGCTTTCTAATTTGTCCCATGAGAAAAAAATTCAACGACTACAAAACTATTCTTCTTTTCAAAGGATTTACAACGAAACTACCTTATATAATATTCTTCATATAATTCATACCCACATTTCATCATTGTTCTCCACTCATACAGAACATCATTGTTCTCCACTCCAAAGATCAAACATTTCATGTATTACAAACGAAAATTAAAAAGTCGAGATTTTCAAAGATACTGGTTGAACAAAAGAAAGAAAGAAAAAAAAAGAAATTCGTCGAGAAGGGGGGAATTGATCCTGATGATCCATAAAATTTCTAGGAGTTACTATCAGATAGCAGCGACGAACGGTCGGAATACTGGAATATATCGACTAGAAATGGCCGTAAATGCAGAGGCAGACAAAGTCGAGCTTGCCCCGGATTTTTTAAAGCTTGTAGTGCCTTTCTGGCTTGTGCCTCTGTATTAGCAACCGCTAGTTTAATTTGGCTGTTCATCGACGTTCGTCAGCAACTCACCGCGCTACGGACCGAGCTGGACCAAGGTATATTGCATCTTGAAGGAACGCCTCGAGGGGAAAAAAGAGCCTCGTGAGAAAATGGGGAAATCTTAATTGAACGCTCTACAACTCTCGAGACAAAAGAACGTTTTTTTCTCCCTCGTATATTTTGTTCACGTTGTTCCAACGTGAATCGATCCTCTCTGTCATCACGAGTTCCAGAATAGAAACGCGCTTTGTGATCTTTTTCTTCTCTCTCTCTCTCTCTCTTTATTTTTTTTTCCCTCTTTAGTTTCTTTTCAGCTGTTTAACGGTTAATTTGCAGCTCGTACGTTTGTACTTATAAGATCAGGCTGATAGCGGAGCGCTAGGTAATCTGCTTATAATACAGCGATTACTGCCGCGTGGTAATACGCTTACCGTTTAAGATCCCTCGGCTCGATGTATTGACAAATATTGGATTACTTCGTGTTGTTTGAGTGGATTGAAAGCGAGGTGAGAGTAATTATCTGTCGAGTCTCCGGGGATAATTGTGATTTAAGTGGAGGAAATTGGAATGTCGAGTTATTGTCGGGTTACTAGAATGTCGAGTTCTTTGTTGATTTGATATTAAGTTAATAGTAAGTTAATGTTAATTTGATGTTCAGTTGTTAGAATGCTGAGAGTTTCTCTTAAATAATTGAGTCACCGAGCCCACGTTAATTTAATATTAAGTTAATATTGAGTTAAGCGAGTAAGATGAATTCGATTGCATTCTAATCCCCAGAGGCTTGATGTTTCATTTCTTTAAAATGAAATCGAAAATAAAGAGGGAGAGATTTCGATTGGAAAACAGCGGCTTAGCTGTGTCTGTGTTTCTAGTCGAAACGTTCGATAAAATTGAATTGACCCTGGCATTATTATATCACTGGTTGGTATTTATGAAAGAAAGTAAGAAAGTGTCGTTTATATTGCAGTTATCGACGGTAGCGAAGGAGTTCCCGACGCTCTGCAGAAATGTCACTCTCTATCGAGAGATCTCCAGAACAACCAGACCATTATTTTCAACCATTTGTCCGATCTCAAACTCCAAATTAATAATTTTACCTCACAGGTGAATTTCCGATACTCTAATAGAAGAATCATACATTGGATTTATTCATAAGTTTTTGAGGACCCTTTGAGAACTTCTGTGCAATATCAAATGTGGTTTCATTAATTAATAACATTTTCTATTTAGAGTACTGTTCTCGACAAATTCTAAATTTATCAATAATCTGAAAATGTTTGATTTACCCGTTTTGATTTTCGAAAGAGTGAATTCATTTTTAAAATCCAGAAAAATCTTTTTGGTATCGGCGATCAAAATAATGCTTATATTCGCGAAGTACACGAGAACTTATGAATTGAATCAAAGATATGTATAGACAATAGAAAGTGACCCATTTTAAGCATAAAAGTCCATTTACAGTTAGCTGTTATTCAACGCGATTTGCACCGTGTAGAAGAGTGGTTCAAAGCTGACCCACAATTAGCCAACGTGCCAACAGATTTAAAGGCTCTTTATAATAGCGTTGCTACGTTTGGAAGCCATATGCAGGATATGAGTAACACAGTGAACACCCTAAAAGAGTCTAGTGCTAGGGTACAAGATGCTCAAGCCATAATGCAACAAAATATCACCAGTATCAAGGTTGATAATTCAATTATTTACTCAGTATCATTGTAACACTTCTATCTCAAATGTGGAATTTAAAAAATTATTTCTTCTATTTTGTTTTCTGTTACAGAACACACTGACAGAATTGTCAAATGCTACACAAAAACCTCAGATGTTGACCACAAATGAGACAAAGATAAAGACTGATCAACTGAACACAGCAATTGTACATTTGTCTGATAACTTGACAAACATCAATGAAACATTGTCAAGAGCGGTGCAATGGGTGACTGAGGATCAGAAGAAGGACCATGTAAATATTTAAGAATGTGTAAAAAAGAAAAATTGTGGTGTGTTCACTGATGGAAAAATGTAATGTTTGTTGTAGAAAATACTGGTGTTGCTTCAGGAAACGACACAGAATGTTAGCATGAAGGTGATATCTTTGCAGAGAGAGTGTGTGAAGACCACCATATTGAGCTCTGTTATGAAATTGAATGACCAAGTACGTGCATATTCTATTTTGCTGATTTAAAGAAAATTCCTCTTTAGAGAAAATTCCAATATTCTTTTCAAATTTAATTAAAGACCATTCTTTGGAATTTTCTGCAAACTATTCTCTGATTTATTGATATGCGCAGGTGAGTAAAATTCATGCAGCTAATGCTGAGCTCAGTGAGAAGGTGAAACAATTGGAAGAGTCCTATGGTAGTTTAAAAAATTCCACAAACTTGATGCTGGCCACTCTACCAGATATCCAGAGCCAAAAGCTGACCAAAGCACAAGTTTTAGAGGAATCGATCAGCGACGTCGCGACTACGGAACAAGATCATAGTGCGTTAGGTAAGTTGCTTCGTTGAATCGTTTTGACTTGTAGATTCGAAAAGCAAACACCCGCCCGAATAGACAAAACAACAAATATTTGGCTTTCTCATTAGCCTGTATGCCGTGATATTTATTGAACGTTTTATTTTGTGAAAGAAATTGAAGAAGCTTATACAATAAAACTTCCAGTAATTATTATCATATTATAAAAAATTCTTTGTTTACTTTCCAGTTTCTGACGACTCCTCGAAGAAAGATGCAACGGGTAAAGCGAAACGTTCGAGGTTAGGTCCGTAACGTGTTTCTATGAGGATACGTATTATCGTGACACTTGAGAGAGTACTGACCTTGTACGATATCAAGGCGACAACTGTGTTGTCGAGGAGAGCACGGAGAGACCGTGTATGTGTGTATGTTGTAAATACTAAATAAATTAAGTACGTTGAGAAATTCCATGTATATAGAGAGGTAAATATTTATAACCTGAATCATGTGATCTCTCTTTCTCTCTGTCTCTATTCGTGCACAAATAATCTGCGAGGATTTTATTCGGCGGATTATTCTGTTGTAAGAAGCAATGAAAGAACCGAACATGATTTAGAGAGAGCTAATTTGAGCTATAATGAGCAATAACGTATACGTCGAGTCGTCTAGTATCGAGATATCGAATGCTATGTATTTGAGGTGTGTATTCAACGATGACAAAATGCCAGTTTGTAGAGGGCGCCACGGTTGTATGCGGCTACCTGAATTTATTCAGATACACCATCGAAAAAGTACAAAGAGCGTTTACCCTTGTTCTTGCGTTACAAACGAAAACGAAACGACAAAAAAAAAAAAAAGAATAAATAAATAAATAAAGAATGGAAAATTTAGAAAGCGTTTAACCGTACCACGATGTCCACGCGTAATCGCAATAAATTTTTCTACTCTTCTACTGTTTATAGTGCAGCGTAGTCTATCGATTCTGCCAAACGATAAGAAAGGTTCAATAGGTTAGCAGTTCGAATACTTTTTTTCGTTATTCGTAGATTATTCGTCCATTTAGTATGGCGCAATGTACAGAGTGTGTCAGAGGTAAAAGTACGGTGAGTGTACTTGTCTATATCACACCAGAGAGTTTGATTGAGCAAAGAGTAGCGAGCACAATGCATTTTGTGAATTTCTTTTTTAATTAAACGGAAAGCATGAGAAAGCGACAGTAGTATTTTTATGTTTGTTTACTTAGTATAGGGGTGATCATTTGTATTACTTTAAACTACAGTCATGAAAGGAAGTTACAATCTATACACATCACAAATGGTGCATCCTTTGTTGTAAGATCAAAAAATGATACAAATTGTAAAAGAACATACATCGTATATTATTTATAAAAAGAAAAAAGCATCAATGACTTTAAGATGGTCTTGATGCATCTTTGGATTTTTACATTTAATTTTCTAACGTCTACAGTGACTTCTTTAAACGTATTTCATAAGATACGTTCGTTTCCTAGTGACAATTAGTGGATCACCCTATATAACTCGATACGAATGTATTATATTACATGAATGATCCGTAATTAGTAGTTATTATATTTTAAACGCGCTTTCAAATCGTTTATGTTGTATAAGAGCTGACATTATGTTGATTTTTAACAACTCTTCGTTGGAATATTGTGTAATGATTTATGCGCGTAGTGGACGAATGCATTGTAGCTATCACGAATGTAGTATATTTAAACGAATGTTCGTCCATTCTAGCGAGAAACGAGAGATAATGTATTCACGGGGAAAATAGAATGTAAAATAAAAGAAAGAGTGACGGATTATACGTGAAGGTTGTATGAAGTTGATATGAATTTATTAAAAGGAAGATAGAATGCGTATAAACGACAATACGTTGGAGTGTGAATAAAGAATTGATTATTCAAATTCAATAATGCACTTTTCTTTTCTATTTCCTATTGTTCGTTCAAATTTTGATACCTCATTCTTGACCAATATTTTAATTGTACATTACAAACGGTATTTACTTTGTTCTGTAATTAAAACTTAAATGATTTTAAAACTTACCGTGAAGAAGATGACTACTCCCTGGATTGCAGGATACGTAGTTTTCTACATGGAAAACAATTTTCTTTGCGAATATCGTTGTAAACGTACTCGTATTGTGTAATAAATGTACACAATAAAAATATTTCACTGTATCAGAAAATTATGAATTTGCAGAGTCTAAATTTCGGGTGCAACTAATGCCGACTAAGAAAGCGGACTATTGGACTATTCGAATTAAACTTGTATCACGTAGTTAGTTTAGAAATTTTTTTAATTGTAATAATAAAAAAGAAAATAACGATTAAACAACAAAATCTATTAAATTTATTAAATTAATAAATTCAATCGTAAGATAAATGGCTAAAAAGGTGTAATATTTTAATTTACGCCTTTTACATCATTGGTATATACGCTGGCAACCGGAAGTTAGCTAAAGATCGACGGAAGTACTTTTCGATATTCACGATTCTCTAATTTTCAAATATTCGAAATGTCAACCTTGGTAAAATCGTATCAAGAACATGCTGTAATTAGTCCGAATGAAATTAAAATATCCTAATTTCATAATTAGAAGATCAGATGATAAGATTCGAAAAATCATATCGACACAACAATCGAGACAATGAGAAATAGTAACAAGGACAAGAAACGATTTAACGATACAATTCTCTTCAGCAGACCTTATTTTTGCTTGAAGTCAAGGCTATATTACGTGTGTTTATAAAAATAACTGGTAAAATAACCGGGTACCACGAAAATTTCCACGAGTTTTGGCTTTTAACCCCGAACGAGACATCGACCGATTCGATAACGTCGCGACCAAGTATCGGATCGGTGTTGTCCCTATCTAGGAGACTATTACGTGGTCTGCGTTTGACATCTGCGCATTTCTCACGCTCGTTCGGAGGAAAAATCAAAACAATCAATATGGCGGACCCGAACAACGAAGCTGCATCGTCGAGTAGCGTTTCGGAACAGGCCCCCCCGGCCGCTCCAATTCACGACCTTCTCGAGAAAATCGAGGACTTCCTGGAGCCTGACAAGAAGCGTCGTAAAGTGTCACGAAACGATGGAAAAACGGAGCAAAAATTGGAACACCGCTTGGGCGGCATCCTCTGCTGCGCAGTTTGTCTCGATTTACCCAAGGCGGCCGTCTATCAGGTAAATTTCTCATATCTTCCTTTCAATATTTTTCGTATTGTTTGACGTGTGCCATTTCGGTATGACGCAAATTTACAAATGCGCGTTCATCTATCGAATACTACGCGACTTTAACGCGCCGGCAGTCGTTCCTCTAACGACGTCGTTTCTTGCCATCCGACATTTTCACCCGAGGCTGATGGGTGACTTCTTCGTTGCCCGCTGCAATATGTATATATACACGCATACACGTACGTATAGATGGCATTAAGAAGAACGAACTCTTTTATTTTTGTCCTTGATCGCACACTGTGTGCCGTGTCAATTCGTTTATATTCCTTTACCCGAAATCGTCTTTTGTTATATTTGGTTATATTCCTTGGCAGTAGTAAAAGTTCTCGTTGAAGCATACGTAAGAAGCACGTCGATTGCGGTGGAGCACAGTATGAGTCTATGTTGTTGAAGCTGTGTTGAAGCATACAGTATTAAATTATTTAATTTTTTATATCATTTTAAATTATGGAAGTGAAATGATATAAATAAAGGGAATGGAATAAAAAAAAAGGAAAAATATATTTTACTAGATTAACATGATTGAAAAAAGAAACAGCAGAAGATTTTGGAGTTTTTATTGCTTGTCACTTAAGACTTGTTTTTGTAATATATTTTGTTACTGATTTCATTCATGTTACAATTCAGTTAAAGTTTTTCATCGATTAACAACAGCCATTAATACCACTTCGTTTCTGTGTTAAATTCTTTCTCTCTCACTCTGCCCATTTTTCTTACCCTCCTTTTCTCTTGATGGTTATAACATATTTTTAAATAGTTTGCCTTTACGATAAGATTTTATTTTTCTAATATTGCAGGAAGAAAATGTTAATAATTATGCAAATTATAATTTTTGTTTTAAGTTTTGATCTTATAAGTAATTAAGGCAAATCTAAGCTACATTTATTATTATGTCGTTAGAATCTAAAAATATTCATCAATATTGTCTTCTTTAAGATAGTAATAATATAATTACAGGTAGGTAATTATATGTTCTTCCTAATAGGAGTGATACTGAATATTTAAAAAACAGATGTATGAAGAACAGCCTTTAATTTGCTAAATACAAATATTACAATTTAATAATTATGCTATTTTTTGTTGTTAAATATATTTATAAACTTTTAGAAAGTCCAATTGATACTAAGAACATCATTATATACAACATGTTGTTACACAATAATTTTTTTGCAATGGAATTCCCAAACATTTAATGTTATTGTGAAAATACTGCCCAAAAAAAATTTTTTTTTCATATAGTTTGTATTGTAAAAGTGATATCACATTTATGATAAACATATTTATGCATGCATGAAAAGTAATTCTCATTATGATGTATATTTATGGCGAATTCTTGAATCATGCGAAAAACAAATACATATGATATATCAAAGAGAATTATTGTATGTATGCATGCCCAAGCAATGATCCCATTTTTTAGTAATATTTATTTACAGAAACTCCCCTATTATTAAATTTGTAGTATTTCATTCTACCTGTACTTTATTATATTTTGTTCTCAGTTCTTTGAATTTTATTAATGGAAATATATATGTAACATATTCTATATTCAGTGTTCTCATGAACTGTAATACAATGAGAAGAATGTTGCGTTTATCCCATCATGATAAAGACGCATACATGTAAGTTATTTAGTGCGCTGTTTAGCGCATAATGTACAATTTTTATTTTTACTATGGTACGCAAGTTTGAACGTTGTATTCATGCATTTGTGAATTTGTAGATATTACATGAAACATTTGATTTTTATAAGTACGTATTAATTTGAATTTTAACTTCATTCCTGTTGATATTCCAATAAAGTCAATTAGGAAAATAAAGAAAAAAAAAAGAAATTACTTAAGTCACCAAATTTTTATAGTCTTTAGCACATAATATAACAATACTTTTTCCATTACAAATTACTATGTTTACTATAAGAATTAATCGAAATTGAGGACACAACCAGAAACTAGTTACTAGGAAAAAGTTATTGTAGACCCATGCGGAATTAATGTTTATCAATTATGATTAATAGCGAGAGAGTGAGAGTGAGAGAGAGAAAGCGCATTTCCAGAAATCTGTATAACATGTATAGTTGAAAAGCATTGAACAAAATAAATATTCTTAAAGGTTATTAGTTAGTTATTTCGCATATGACACCCTTTTTCACTTATCCTACACATCATTATCCTTTTCTCTTCCTTTCTATTATCAATATTGGCAGCATTAATGACAGTTGCTTTGATGATGTTCACATTGTTTTAAACCTACTGGTTTTGCAAATGATTACTTACATAATTAATAGTGTTACTACAATTTTGTGTTTCAGGTTTAAAAACATCAAATCATGGTAATATACAAGGCATTAGTTTTGTTATTCTAGTTTGGTTAATGTTGTTATAAGGGTTGTACATACTTATATATACATTCAAAAAAAAAAAGAGAGAGAACACAGTATGACAGCTTGTGCAAAATCAAAAGAATTCATACAAAGTGAAAGTATTTTTTTTTTATTGCCAATATTCCATATTGCAAGTATCAACTTACATTTTGCACACAGCTATACATACATTCTATAACTGATATCACAGGCTGATAAGATTACCAATATAATTAGGATTATCTTCTGCAAAGAATTATTAAACCAAGAACGCTAGTAATACATGCTGCAACAATGTTCACAGTGTACAAATGGACACTTGATGTGTGCTGGTTGCTTCACTCATGTCCTCGCAGATGCCAGGCTGAGAGATGAAATGGCAACATGTCCCAGCTGCAGAATCGAGATCAGCAGAACATCTCCATCTCGAAATCTAGCAGTTGAGAAAGCCGTGTCTGAATTGCCAGCAGAATGTCAATATTGTGCAAAGGAGTTTCCAAGAAACTCCTTAGAACGCCATGAAGAGACTATGTGTGAAGAAAGGTAATCAAAACTAAAATCTAGAACCAGTTAAAGCATTATTAATGTTCTATTTATTCTGCCCATGTAGAATATGTAGCTGCAAATACAGCAGAATCGGATGTCCTTGGCGTGGGCCGAATCACGAACGTCCAGAACATGAGACACACTGCGTTCATCCTCATCGTTCAGGACTAGACGTTATGGAAGCTCTACGCGATATCGATGCCCGTACACTTGAAGAACGTAGGCTGTATGACAATGTCTTTGATCTTTTGTCCTACGAGAAAATCACATTCAACGGTCTGTACCAGTTTCTCGTGCATTAAGGCCTTCAAACTATCATTTAGTTCCATTTAAATGAAACTTCCTAAGAGAAAAAACACTTCACGCCTTTATTTTTCCATCTTGTTTAGCAGCAGCAGGAACAGTCCCTTTCATCAGATCTATCTTAATTGAAATATTATCCATTTAGATTTTAGACATCATTGAAGATACTTTTTTTTCTTAGACGTTATTAAATGTATTCAATTAATTTGACTTTTCTTCTTTCGTCATTTTTAATAAAAAGAGATTTTGGAAACGAAGGATACGAGTTACCTATAGAATTTCGTCCTTTATAGATTTACAAATGAAGCCGTATCGTACGGACGAGTTTGTTCATAAACTGTTCTATGAAACCTCACGTTTCACGGCGTTTAACAATCAATGGGTCGTAAAGGCGAGGATCAATAACAGTCAGCGTGATCCTACTCAGAGTTCCGAGAGAGACATGACTTATCAAGTATGTAATAAGTTAAAGAGGAAACAGAAATCGTCAAACTTTTTTTCAGTACTTTTTTAGTAGATGATTACGAGCTTTCGTTACTTTGTAGTTGATCTTGAAAACGAAAACAACGTACCCGCTACCGCTCCATTATTTAATATTGAAAGGACCTTTCGGAGACATGAAAGTACAACCAAGAATACACAATTTCGAGTTCACCGACCAAGAAAACGAAAGTCCTTATTTACCTTTACCTTTACCTGATACGGCAGAGTGCAATAGACTTCTTGCTGCGAGAGCTATTAGTTTCAGGTATGAAAGTGAACACACACTTTGTAAAATAATTCTTTTTTTTTATTAGGATGGTTTCAGGAAGAATAGAATTTATTTATAAGACATTTAACATGTCGTTACATCTCTATGTTTCAGACTAATAATGTTCCTGGCATCCAAGTAGTTGGACACAACAATTGCTGTTGTTAAGATTTCATGGAAGATGAATAATAATTGACACAACTTTTTAGATTTAACAGCGATAAGAACATAGAATCACACCGAGGTTTATAATCGATTATTAGTAGCGTTTAACCGTAACGATAAATAAGGATAAAAGATGCTAATTCTGCTGTAGTCTATACACATATTACATTGAAAAGTGGTACACCGTGTCGATACCCGCGAATAGCATAACACGAAAGGTGTAGCAAAGTACATTACGCAAACACTTGGTGAAACGTGCAAATATTCAATTTCGTTTCAATTTCATCCGGGAAATCCTTTTGTTGGTTCTTTCAATTCACGCAAGCTTTACGTATATTATTGTTGACGAGCAAGTGTATTAAATTGCGTCTATGGATACGTAGAATTGTTACAAAAAAGACATTAAAATTTTTTTTGGAAGACTCATTTCGTCAAGCAATGAGACGAATTTAATGCACATGTATGTCGACAAGTCGCCTATTAAAGATTCTTCTATTTATGTATAAATTAAATGTTATTGATGTAAAATCCCGATTCGACATATTGTAATAGAAGAAATTTAAATAAATTTATTATAATTATGACTTTGTGTTGCAGTTTAAGTCGTAAGATCATCTACCACAGCAATTTTCTTTATATTTTAATTCCTTTCCTCGATTCACAAAAATTACACGGTTTGTTGTAGTTCAGACAGATTAATGAACGTATTGTTATTGGTTTTCGGACCATTTATGTTGTTGGGAGGGAAGATTAGGGGGTTCAGATTATTCTCTGGTGTACTGACGCTATGCTTACGGTATTTGGGAGTTGGTGGTCTTGGATCTGGCTCTGAGCAACCTTTTAACCAGTAAGAAGTAACTCTTCCCTTCCCTTTTAGTTCCACTTCACCCCTGAGTTCAAGGTCGAATGTTCCAAACTTATCCAGTATGCATTTTGTTGCCTCAGACACGTGTATGCATAATGCTGTATTAAATATATATATAAAATAAATTGACAAATAAGCAATATTAGAAAAAAATATTCCCAATAAAAAAGAAAATAATTGATCTCAAAGAGGAAACTTCTTTTTTGATGTTGCAATTCTTTTTAGTTCTTTTTTCCAATTTTTAATCATTTACTTCTTAAAGTTCAAATAACTTACGTAGTCCCGAAGATTCCATTCTCGACGCAGTGTTCACAGTGTCGCCAAACAGGCAATAGTGTGGCATTTTTTGTCCAACAACTCCAGCACAAACTGGTCCACTGTGTACCCCTATTCTAACGCTCAATTGTGCATTTTGTTTATGCATTATAGTGAAGGAACGTACAGAATCGAGGATCGCCAATGCCATCAGGCCAATTTCCCTCGCGTGTTCGTCACCGTTTCTTTCTGGTAGGCCAGATACCACCATGTATGCATCTCCTATAGTTTCCACCTTGTTTCAATAATACAAAATAGGAGTAACAATAAGCGATCTGCAATCATAATTTATTGTCAATGGATAGTATTGAAATATACACCTTGTAGACGTCGTAGAATTCAATAATGCGATCGAAGGTACTGTAGAGATCATTCAAGAAATCTACCACCTCCATTGGTGTGCTTTGTGCACAGAGGGCTGTGAAACCGACTATATCACTGAAATAAATTGTCACGCACTCAAATTGCTCCGGTTGGACTAATTCTCCCGCCATTAACTGACACGCCACCTGCCTGTGACGTTTAAATTATAGATAAGTAAATTTCCAAGTGGAACATTAATAAACTGTTGAAAAATATGATTTCATGAGCTTATGGTTACCTTGGGAGCACTTGGTAAAGAAGTTCTTCGCTACGTCGCTTCTCCAGACTCAGTTGCTCCGTTTTCTCTTCCACCAGGGCCTCTAAATTATTCGCATACTGTTCCATGCGCCTCAATAGGTCGTCCATTAAATTTTCACAGTAACCTCTGGAAAATTGCAGAAATATAATAGAAGATTTTTTAAGGTAAATGTTTATAATTGTGGGAAGAAATAATTAAAATTAATGCTCACTTCATGATACCACGTATAATTCCACGTATAGTGTGAAAGGTTGGTCGTTCTTCGGGGAGTTCGTTCCAACATTTTTCCATTAAAGACAGAATGTCTAGCGGGCAATCCTTCGGCGTCACTTCCGGTCTAAACGGCGGCGTTTCTGAGGCTGCGACGTGGCCCACGATCTACGTGAAATTTTTAGAAAATTATGGATAACATATAAATATAAATAAAGTGTACTGCACAATTTACTGTCTTTAAATCAAAGTGTAATTCAGGTTTTTGTTAACGCTCGATTGAAACTTGAATTGGTAGTTTATTTTTAACATTAAAATGTTATAAAAAAACGTAGAGTACAATATTTGTTTATGTTATGTTACTTTTAATGTCATGAATTTTAAATCCATAAAAATCTTTTATTTATTTAATTAGAATTAGAACAAATCTGTTTGTTTGCAACTATGTATTGATATTTTATCTACTGTCTGTCTATTTTCCAATACAGATTCGTACGGGCCACCACGAACCACGATTTCCTCTAAAATGATCGCGAAACTGTAAACATCCCCTTTCTGAGTCGCTGCGCTACCGGGTGTCACAGTTAGAGGTAGAAGTTCCGGAGCGATCCAAAGTAGTTCTGTTAAAAAGCAATTTACATACAACGAATAATTCTTTATTCACTTGTAATAAAATATTTTTACGTACTAGTATAATAATTATCGTCCATAATTAAGTCAGAAGGCGTGGTGAGAGTTTTAAGTCCAAAATCGGAAATTTTCAATACGAAACGACCGTCGATCAGACAATTACAAGATCGAAGTTTTCCATGAGCAGAAACTTCACTGGCATGAAGATAGGACATCCCCTGCGAAAAATAAGTAATTTCTTAATTCTTAAAAGTTTCCCATAATTTGTTTCTGATGAATCAATGAGGGAACAGTTATACAGGGTGAGAATAAAACTTGGTCATAGTACAATAATAAATCTAAAATAGTCGTATAAATGTTTTATCGAGAGAATTAATTTCACAGACTTTCGTTGAATCTTTTCAACCCTGTATAGATAGATGAAATGAACGTGTGATATAATTTTTGCACCTGCTCTACCTTGACGATGTCGTGGATCAAAGACATTCGAAAATTCCAATCTAACTTGATAGCATCGTTCTCCAGAACATCCTTTAAAGATCCTCGAGGACAATATTCAGTTAAAATTAGGACTGTTGGCGATGGGGAACAGAGGCAAGCACCGATAAACCTAAAATCAATTTGAAAAGTCTGCGAGTCATTGTTTTACAATTGTACAATATGTAACAAAAGTGTTCGGACTCTGAATTTAATGATTTATCACGATGGAATGGAAGAAAGGAAAAAGAACAGCATGATACCTTAATAAATTGCCAACCTTGCTCGGTGACGTCAAATATCTAAAATGTTTGAAATGAAAGAAAAGAAAATTATAATTTTTATAATAATAATTATAAAATTATAATAATAACAAATGAAATATATAAGAAAGAAATATCAATAAAAAATAATCAAACATTTTTGCAATCAGAGTTCAGGAAATTTTGGTCACACTCTCTGCCATTCGCTATTAAATACCTGACGGTGTTTTCTGAAGTGACATCTCTAACTTGCTTAATCTCCCACAACAATTTCTTCGTGACGTCAACTACCTTCTTCTTAGTGACTTTCTTAATAGCCACCCTCTCACCCTTATAAATTCCAACCGTGGTGAACACTGTGGTCGGGGGCAGGGATTCGCAACTAAATTGCGATCCTCGACGAATACGCTGCTCCAATCCGAAATTCTACGAGAATAGGATCGAATTTAGTATTCAAGTGCCTCCTTTCATAATTACAAGAGTTACAGCTCACCTCAGCTATAGCTTGATGCAGATTGATCTTCGAAGAAAATGGTTTCCCTATTTCCAGAAGCAGCTCCTCAGGTCTGATCCTCCAGGACATGTTGTTCAGATCAGCTGACAGTCTCAGGTGCCTGTAAAAGTAAAATAAAAATATTTATAGGAATTATATTATATTTATTTGTGAGAATAATATCTACAATATTTCATTCCATTGATAATCAAAAATGTAGAAATCATTCGATAATTAATTATTCTTTTCTTATTTATAGGTGAAAAATTTGTGGAACCTTTCATTTCACGGACATACAAAAGTGTAAAAAAAGATTCAACAATCCGTCATTTTTTTCAAATTTATAGATCAGAAAAATCATATCCATCTTTCTCCAATTTACAGATGAAAAATTTCTGCCATCTATCATTCTCTTCACGTGTAAAAAATAACAAAGTTGGAGTAAAAGAAATACTAGCCTGTACAATACACAAGTTGCAGTAATAGCAACGAGGAGGAACACGGTCAAAGCTAAGCTGGTATAAGCAACAAAGGTGTAGGCTTCGGTTCTAGACGTACAGGCTGGATCGTTTCCCAAAAATCCACATTCAGGAACATCCGCTGGCGGTCCTTCTCTGCCTCCAGGCCAATGGATTTTCTTCCCAGTCACTGGGCTGTATTCTCGATTCAAACCAAGATAGTGTGCGACTACCTCAAACCTGAGTATTCCACGTTAATATTATTCCTGTGTAGGTACACCCAACAATACCTAATTGCGCTATACAGATTTGCCTTATCAAATATTCTGCTTCGAATTCAAAAGGAAATCGAGGGAATTTCGAAAAGGTGATGAAGCTTCAGTGAGTGAATTGGTTCTACTGGTCGTTGAGAGAATAGTGGTTGATTAGCATGGCAAACGGATGAGAGAAATGGCTGGCTTAATTGACGCTGACCTTCCAGTGATAGGATCTAAATCCAGGATACTGTAGTCTGCGTCGCGGTCACCATTGTCGTCGATTCTCACGTGTCCTGTAATACCAATGAAGTCCCGATCCCACATCCTCCTCGTTATCGATATGCCGTCTCTGATGTCGCCTCCCTCGGCAAGGGTCTCGTTTAACGCTATACCGAGGAGATAGACTCCGTCGTAGAAGGCGCCAATAAAGAAATTCACCTGGTAAATAGGATTTTTATTACGATTCTTCGACATTGTTGTCTATCAGTATGGTGTTGCATATCATGGAGGGAGCATTAATCGTTTAAGTGCCACGGGTTATTGCAGAAATCTGACCGAAAAGTGCCAAGCAGAGCGATCGCGCTTCTTTCATTTGATGTCGAAAAATTCCAAAAACTTTGTTTTGCACATTTTCACCGAATACGACTGTTTGGAAATAACACGAAACAAAGGCAAAATTGATTATGTGCAGGATTTTTATTCAATTTCTTATAAAAAAATAGATTATAAGAAATAGAATAAAATGTACACTTCGTGGCCCGATGCGATATGGCACTTTTGGATGTCGAATACGAGGAGCACGACCGCGCTCCTTGGCAGTCAAACGGTTAATGGTTTCTAACGTAGGACTGAGTTATACTGTCTTTGTTAAAATTTTTTATTTTAGTTTTTACGAAAGAGAGAGAGAAAGAAAGGGGTGAAAGGGAAGGGAGAGATTCATTTTTTAGTAACCTATGTAACAAAGTGCGAAGTCTTACTTCTTCTCCTTCCGAGAAGGAGTAATTGTAATCGGTCTGAGCCCTCAGCCGGACACTTTCTGCAAAATCTTGAAACCTTGGACTAGTTGGCTGCAAAAGGGATACTCTGAGTAGCGCTTCGTAGGCTTTCCTGGCAATGGCGTCGTCCTCGTCACCGACTTCCCAATCGTGGTCTCCCCAGTAAGAACCCTGATTTATATTTAAAACAAAAAAGAACACTGTTCCTAGATGTTTGTATATAGCAAAAAAACAAGTATAATTGAAATTTTCACTTGAAGCTTCGGTTATTTAAGATTTTCAATTTTTTATTCTACTTTTAAATCTAAATTTAAATTATGTAATTTTTTATAGAATCCTCGTCATTTCCAAATCATGAGCTGCCAACATGAATTTTCTAACCAGAGTCCCTCTCACACTCAGAATCAATACTGTTAGAGAACGAATTACAGATTAATTAATTTAAATTAATCTCAGAGCAAATTGAGTATATTTTCTAAATTTACCTCTTGCGTACATACTGGCGTCGCGTAAATAAAAATGGTACGATTCATCTTCCGAGTTCCCGTCCAATTCCCTCACAAATTTCAGCAGCCCTTCTTTCCTCAAACCGTACTCCAAATTCTTTCCCACCGTCCACGAGAACAAATCCGATCTATCTAATATCAGCGCCACGTGTGACCATCCGAATTCTTTGAATATACTGGAGAACACTAAACGAAGTCGACACTGACAATAGGACATCCTCGTCAACGTTGGATACTTGCTCTTGTCTTTGAATATTCCCTTCGAAGAAAGAATTCAGAGGAATTGCTAGATGAAGTAATCTGTTATGTAAGACGTAATTAAAAGGAACACTTTTTTTTTTTTTTTTCATAAAGTACGTTTTCACATTATCCTGAGTGCCTTAACAAGCACACGGCTAATTAAGAGTACTAATGGAGTCGTAAACAGGGATGAGGTATCAGGTGAATCTTCTCGTGTTCTTTTTCTACCTGAATGCGCCAGTTGCGCGCGATAATTAAGGGAATAACGCGATCAATTAACGTAACGAACAGCGACGCACGCATAGAGATCTTCTTACCGAGCTTTCGTTTTTCCATTTATTGATTCTGCCAAGAATCCCCGAGGTTACTGACAATTCCCCCTCCGATGGCGGCTTAATCGTTCGAAAATATCAGAAATGCATGAATTACAATGATTAAAAATTCTTTTTCGGTAGAACAAAGAAAAAGAAACAGTACTTGGTTACTTATTTCAACTACAATAGGGATATTCTAATTGTTCATTTATTTGTAATATCATTATGGCTACTATACGAATAAAAATGTTACTGCAGGATTATTTTTGGTTTCTCTTTTAAAATTTTGTTTATTATCTGGTAACCTTCTTGATAATCTGGCCTTTAATTAATATCGACTATTGAGGATTATGTACTGATTAATTTAATATAAAATTCTTTTCTGATAGGTCATTGCAAGTGGACAAAAAGAATCTTGAATATTTCAACATGGTAATGTACAGATGTTTTGAGAATTCATTTTTTAAGGGAATCATAGTGGTTGAAAAAATGGTACTTGGTCACCCATTCCAGTGATGATTGGAGTGTTCCAATAGGCGGCTAGCCTGGCCACAGGTTCGAGGGCGAAAGCACAAGCTGGACCTATAAACGCTATCACGTTGTCCTCGAAGTGCATGTCGGCTGCTAAGCCGGGTGCTGCGGCTCCGCTGCACGACGGATAACTGCACAGGATGTGTTAAAGTATGTTAAACATACTAATTTATAAGGAACGTTTTTATTAAAGTAGAGGAAAAATCAATAAGTAATTGTAGAATTACGTTACATATTGATATCGTAATATCGTTAAATAAGTCGGTCAGAAGTTGAAGTGACCAACTTCTTCAAACAGAAAAGTAGAGAAAATTGATAAAATTATCAATTGTAAAGATTGCAAAAAGTGAAGATAACGAGATATAAATATATTTCAAAAAATTAAGGAGCTGAAGAAGAATATGATGAAGGAGAAAAGGAAGAGAATGGGAATATGTACATTAGATGGTGAATCTTCCTCTATCTTCTTCTTTCTCTCCTCCTCTCTACCTTCTACCCTCCACCTTTCCTTCTTTCCCTCCTCTTCATCTCTACCCCTTTCTTTTCTTCTCTCAGCCCTTTTTTTCTTTCTCTCCCTCTTTTCTCTCTTCCTCTTCTTCTCACCCTCTTCCCCTATCTCCCCCCTTTCTCTTCTCTCCTTCCCACCTTCTCTCTCCCTGTCTCTCTCCCTTCTTCTATTAACATTCACCAACATTTTAATAAAGAAGTTCAACATGTTAGCGTCGACGTATTTTTAAGGGTTGTCGAAGGCAATTTGGTCGTTCTGCTGTCGTACGATTTATGTCAGGTATATACTTGGACCGCGTCTGGCCAGAGAGAATGTTTATGAAAGGAGACAGGCCAGGCGACCAACGATAAAGGCATGAGAAAGTTTAGGGATGGCAAGCAGCCTGACGCTGCATTGCTTTAAGAATGAGAATGTTGTTCCTGAAGGATCTGGCCACGGAATGGGGAAGATGAAGGTCTTCTGTTAAGAGGACTCTGAGGAACGGCGTAGAACATACTGCAGAACCTTGAATACAAAAAAATCTGTGGGTAAAATTTCTAACAAACATTTCTTTCTCCATCTAGAAGAACTATCAAATTAAAGTATCGACGATCCATAAAAGTTACCATCTCCGTTATATCAACTTACAAACATCCATCAAAAACGAATGAAGGATAGCGATTAATGTACCAAATAGTTGCGCAAGAAGGTCCACTTTAACCTAACCTTCGTGGCAGTGTGTTTACCAGTAACCGTTTCTTCGTCCAGGGCCGCAATCTTTCAGGATCATGTGTTCCGTCCTTTCCCGCAATACGATTCCATCCCCCGAAGACGGAGGAGGAACGAAAAAGGTATGCGCGGGACACAATGGTCGTAGGAATCAAACAATATCGAAGAAGGAACCGAGGGGTAAACGAGTTGATGGATGATCGTGTTCCACATAGGGCAAACACGTAGCTGATCGAATTACCAGAGCAAGGAAGGGAAAAAAAAGGAAGGAACGATCGAAACTGGATGGCCTGTGTTAACGTTAACGCGTAAGGGAAGTTCCTGGAGGAGGGAATCCGTGAAACGTACGAAACGCACATTCGTAGTTGAATGATTGATAATTGTTAGGGAAGGGAATGCTGGAATGCAGTGTCATTCCAAGTGTAAATAACGACACGGTGTATAATGATAGATTAATCGTGTCGGTGAATGGGCAATGATTGGACACCGGACTGAGAAAATTATCCTGCCACGGTGATCTTCGCCCTTCGTTCCCTTCGTTAACGAATTGTAACACTCTCTCTCCCTGTCCATTTTCTCTCTCTCTCTCTGGTGCTGTGTCATCCTAATTTCTCAACGGAGATTCGAATAGGGGGGAAATTGGAATTTAAGACGAACAATTTCTTTGTTTTCATTATTTGTTCTAGTTCTTTTCTTTGTTTCTGTGTGTTTTGGGAATTTTGTAATAGAGATTTAGTATTTGATACCTAATGGTGAGTATTTGGTATTTTGAGTACTAAATAAGTGTTATTCTAAGGTCTAAGCACTTTTGATACTCGGTTGTTTAGGTATTTGGTATTCTCCACTATTCGATACCTTTGGTATTCAGTATTCTCTGTACTTTGCTCTCTTGATACTTTCAGTACTCGGTAACCTCGGTAATCCATATTTTTTAGTATTCAATATTTTTAGCACTCGATATTTTTCTGTACTCGAAATTTTCAGTGCTCGGTAACTTTTTCATGTGGAAAAATTTGGTTCTCTTGGTATTCAAGATTTTTACTATCCACTAATTTGTGTACCTAATACTCCCAATTTTCGATACTTCTGCTATTTAATAACATACAAAGTTACTCCAATTTATTTCACAAATTCTAATATTCATCGCTAACAATCTCATCTAACCATTTCTGTTTTACTTAACCGTGATCGTATACTCGACGAATCTCGTTGTCGAACGACTGTTTTTTACACACACGTCTGCCCAATTGGATTAATGTAATGACATGGAAGCGATGGAAACGCGTGGTCAGAAGCGAATCACCTTACGCAGGGTCACGCGTACGCGTAATCTAGGACGTACAACCATTTCTTTTATTTATTTATTTTTTTTCTGTCTTTTCGTTTTATTACATTTAACCGGAATATCAATTACCAGATGATATAAGAAGATTTACTAAGACATCGTGGATGAAGGCGTAAGAAAAGGATAAAGAATTTCTTTTGGTCTCTTTACCTTCCTTGAACCTTGCGCAATTTCACGTTGTGGACACTTAAGAAGTCGTTTACTTCGGCTAAGGCTAGGTCCACTGCTGGTCCACATCTCTCGAGGTCGAAAGGACTGTTCAAATGGGAGGCCATAAGAACGCCGACGTTATAGATCTTCGTAGAATATTCATAATTTACTGGACAATCAGAATCGAAAGAATATCTGTAGGAATTTATGACGTAATGTTCGGCAAAAGTTATTTCAAATAACGAATAAATTTAATTTAATAATTAAATAATA